GAGAGGCCAGTAGAATTACACAGTCATGTCCTCCACATGCCACCCCCTTCCCCCCCAATAAGGTCTATGCCATTTTTTAAAAGTGTTTATTTTTGAGAGAGAGAGAGAGAGAGAGAGAGAGAGAGAGAGAGAATCCAAAGCAGACTCTGCACTGGCAGCAGAGAGCCCCACGCAGGGCTCAAACTCACGAACCATGAGATCATGACCTGAGCCAAAGTCAAGAGTTGGATGCTTAACCGACTGAGCCACTAGGTGCCCTAAGGTCTATGCCACTTTTATGTTTTTTCTGGGTTTCACAAGGACTGATTTTAAAAAGGCACAGGCACAGTTGGATTATAACACATATCAGTTAAAACCCCACATTCAGAATCTCCCAATAACAAAATAGAGAATGAAATAGCTTCAGAGGATTTTTCTTTAACATAAAATTAAGTATAATAAATTCAGCAAAGTACAACCATAGATAGCTAGCCATTGTATTGGCCACCATTTCTGGCTGGTTTCAGTAGAAAAGGGATTCATTGCAGTGATGTTGGGCCTCATGGAGAGCTTCAGGGAAGGCTTAAAAGGCAGGATTGGAAAATGGGCAGAAATGAAAGGAGGCTAGCCAGCCAGGAAGGACCTGCCTCCCCTGCCGAACACACACCAGGGCTGTGGCTTGCATCACTGATCCTGAACACATTTTTGGCCTTTGCTCACCATCACCCCTCCCCAACCCCCGCTCCACCCCACGAAAATGGATGGTGCAGCCACTGTCAGAAAGAATGCTCTACTTGCTTTGCTTCTTTCCAACGCTAACTTCAGGTTCAAAGACCTAGGTGCGTGCATCTGACAGGCTAAATCCAGGTCATGTACCCTCTCCCTGTTAGGTGATGTGACAAAGTCGGTATCTGCTGTTCTCACCTGATTGTGGGAGGGAGACCATTCATGGGGAATTTCCTAAATATAGGAATGAGGTCCACAGGCTCAGAGGTGAAGATAAAAAAATGACAAATGCACACTACAACACTTTTCGGCAGTGGTGCCTACAACCAAATATTCTTGTGTATTAAGGCAAATCATACCTGACCCCACCATTTTGTATTCTATAGTGCTGTTATGATCACCAGAGAGATAAACACAAAGTGCAATTTATCAGGAATTAAAGTCCACAAAACAAAATGTTAGTACAACAATAAATCTTGGTTGCAAGGAGGAGAATCAAGGAAGAAAACAGCTAAGACAGGAAATATGGAAGTTCTCATGTGCACTATATCACACGTTTTTGCTACTTTTTAAACTCGAAGCATTCGTCATGTGAGTACAGTGATTTAACATCCTCTTCTCAGTTCAGAAATGGAACCTCAGGCCAATATTTAAAAATGGCAACCAAACTTTTATTTCTTCCTGTCTTTTTCTTAAGTATTCAGCTTCAGTAACAATGTTGATAAGTGTTCTTGCCAGATTGCCCCTTAATTATTCTTTATTTTAACACTCGCTACAATTCAGGACTCTCATTTTGAGATTAAGGTTATGCTGGAATATAAACAGTTACTATTTTAAAATAACGTTTGCACGGTAGCATTTCCTTTCCTTGGCTGGAAGCCGTGAGATGGAACTCGCTGCACTCTTCCCACATCAACTTGTCAGTCCTAGACCGGACATACCTGCATGCGTCAAAGAGAGCTTCAAAAATATATTTTAAAATACGTTTGCGAATTGGCATTCCTTATTCTTGATTACGCGTTTTATGTGCCAGCACGTTTCTCCAGGCAACCATACTTGAAACCGGCATTCTGAATATATCATAATGAGCATGATAAACTTGACTGATGTGAGTGTACTTCTGGTTAAAGTTATGGTTGCCACACTGCTACTATCCTCTTTGCCTAAAATAAATTAGGATCATTCTCCCCTCCCCCGCCCCACCTCCACCCTGCCCCAGCTCCAAGTCTGGCTAATGCCTGTTAGTTCTTTAAATTCAGCTCAGTCATACTTGTCTTCTGTCTGTTCATCAGACAGGGGTCATTTATTTCTGTCTCAGAACCTTTGTACTTGTTCTTCTTGCAAGTCCCAGGGCCTCCTATGACTGGCTCCTTCTGATCATTCATTTCTCAGCTCGACTTTCACAAGAAATGACTGTTTTCCTAGCCCCCTCATGTATCACCATCCTCCTCCCAGCCAATCACATTTTATCCTATTATCCTGCTTCATTTTCTTAGTATTGTCTCTGGAAACATTGCAGCTTATTTATTAACTTATTTATCGATTTGCTTACATATTTCGCTGGCTCCTCCCCATCTTTAACACTGTGACTTATAATTAGAAATGTATTTTTTGGTCTGTGTCCCATTTCTGGCACAGAGCTACAAAAACCCTTGGAATATCCTAAGTGGTCAGAGCGATAAATGTGTCATTATTCATAACAAACCCCTTTCAACCACACTTGAATTTATGTTGATGAGGTGACTTTAGGAAAGCACCTAAAGATGCTGGCTGGTTTTCAGGGGAACCAACCCTGTGTTTAGAGGATTGGAACTTTCAGTCCCTCTATCTGCCCCCTGTTACCCACCCCCCGGGAGGGGAGAGGGGCTGGAGATTGAATTCAATCAACCATGCCTAAAACATGAAGCCTCCATAAAACCTCAAAAGGAGAGGGTTTGAAGAGCGTCTGGGTTGGTGAACGAGAACCTACCTAATGCTGGGAAGATGGCACACTCCAAACTCCATGGGGACAGGAGCTCTTGTACATTTATGGATCTTTCCCTACGTTGTCTTCATTTGGCTATTCGTTTATAGCCTTAAAATCCTTTGTAATAAGCCAATAATTACTACTGTCTAGTAAGTAAACTGGTTTACTGAGTGCTGTGAGTTGCTCTGGAAAATTAATTAAACCTAAAGGGGGTGCCATGGGAATCTCTGATTTATAAGTGGTGGGTGAGGAGCACAGGTAGTAATCAGGACTTGTGACTGTGCCTGAAGTGGTTTGAGAGGGAGGCAGTCTTGTGAGACTGAGCCTTTAACCTGTAAGATTGGATGCTGTTTCCAGGTAGATAGTGTCAAAATTGAGTTAAATTGCAGGACATCCAGCTGTTGTCGAAGAATTGCTTAATGCGTGTCAGAAGTGAAGTTGTGTTAGAGAAAATGGAGGAAACATATAGCAGTGTGTTTTTCTTTAGACCACCCCACTAGAAAGAAAGTTCTCTGGGCCCAAGGACATCGTTTGTTTTGTTTCAAACTGTTAACCTTGTGGGATGGGAATCTTGAGCAAGGAAGGTGCCTTTCTGAGAAAAATGCCAACACCAAGGAAATCATTCTCCACAGTTGTGGAGAGTGCTATAGTAGTAAAGACATCAACTGACCACTTGAATCCAATTTTCCTAGAAAAAAAACGAACCTCCTGGATTTTTCATTATACAAACACATTGATTAAGTTAGTTGATGTTGGTTTCTGTTCTTTGCAACCAAAAGAGTATTGACTAATACACCAGTGAATGGACTCTCCAAATTAAATCACCCAGTTAGGCAACCAGTTAGGGTTTGAAGGGTGTATATTGCCATAAAATCCCATGTCTGGCAGGAAGAGTCCTGGGATTACTCAACCTTCAGGCAGCTCGCAGACACCCATATCCACACACAGGAAGGTGGCTGTTCAAGTAGAACTCCTCCATATGGCAGATACAGTTCCTGCCTACGCTTTAGTCTTTTGCTCCGTATTCCTTATAAATAGAACCCAGAACTTCTTTTAGAGAAGGCTGAAGCTAATAATGATAATGGTATTCCCCCATAATGATTGATTTAGGAATGGGCATGTGATGCCATTCTGCCCAATGAAATATGTGAGAATCCAGAGAGGCTTTTGGAAAAGTTGTCTTTGCTCTTCCAAAGGGATTTTGGGAAGGAAGCCCTTTCCCCCTCTTCCAGCCTTTGGGTATTGTTAGGCAAAGACATAAATCTTAGACCTGTTGCAACCATCTTGTGATGTGACTAAATAAGCCTGAAGACAAAAGACAAACAAAGCCATGAGGGTAGCGGAGCGAAACCATGGCCGGATCTTCCCGCAACAACCACACAGCTCTTACTCCCTGTGTGCTATGAGACCCTTTACATGCATCTGTGGGAAGCTCTGAGGTTCTCTTTCATACTCCTTTAGTGTCATGGTGTCATAGCACAGGAGCCGTCCTCTGTCTCCTTCGCAGGCAATTCCTCATGCGACCATTCCAACACATTTTCTTTAAAAAATCTACAGACCAAAAGTAGGCACTAATCTTTATATTTAATGTGCTCCCACCCTCCCCCCGGGGAATGTATGTAAAGTTCTTCCAATTCTTCCTCCATGCCCCAAAGTGCTCCTAAGGCTGCCGTGGGACAGGACTTCAGGCCCTGCAGCTCAGCAATCAGGCAGTCGAGGAGGGGAATGTCAGTATTCTCTTCCTGTCAATAACCAGAAGTTTAATTTAACCTGGGAGCAATGGAGAAAGAACCACCCTTCCTCCAAAGGGCAAGAAGAAATTGCCCTCTCCCTAGTATCCCAAACTTCTCTCTGGACTTATGTCTCGTGACCTCCCCCTCTTCCTACCCTCACCACCCTCTTTTCTTTTATGTTGTGGAGGTATAGTAGGTGGTGGTTGATTGCAGAAAGGTTTTTCTTTCACCAATTCAAAATCCCTTTGTAGGAATGAAACTGGCTCCAGTGTTGCTCTTTATAGACTGTAAGGTATTTAGTGCGTCTTTATTTCTCAGCTTTGGGCCCCAATGCTCAGTGCCGGCCTGGGTGCTCCAAATCTAGGGTGACTCACGTTGAGTAACTCAGGCTATCTGTGAGCTGAACACTATCTTAACATATTCCTTCCATACACTACTGTGAGGGACAGTGAGGGCAGTATGTGTTTTCAGGAGGTGGAGTCTTCGGTGAGGTACCCCCTAAGGACCCGGAAACTGGGTCATCCGCTGAAGAATAACCTTTAAGAAGTTACACATACTGAAGCAGAGATAGAAAACGTCACTTCAAAGAAACCAAATGTTACTCAGGCAGTAAGACTAGGCTTTAACCTGATTGATTGTACTGACTTGTTTAGGGAACAGAATGGGAAGTAGAGATGGTCAGTCATGGCTTCATAAAAAAGAAGTCACAGATACAAACGCAAACTATGCCCAATTAAGAATGGGTCACAGAAGAGATTAGGAGTGGATTGTGTATCCAGTGTTCTTGAGCCATTGGCAAAGCCAGTCTTCAAGTGGCATGGGCGAAGTTCATTGGTAGTTTCGTGGCCTTGGCATATCTTCATTCCTATTTGGAAGACCGTCCTATTGAAAAATGGATATGTCATGTCACCATAACCTGATGGGAAGAGGAGCTTGAAAGAGCTGTGTTTCTAATTTTCTTCCCAATTCCATGTGTACAATCAATGTCCGAGGATGACACGACCTCCCATGTTGGTTAACCTAGAGGGTGAGTCATGCGGACTTTGAGGGCTGGGGTCCCTTTTGTACTATCAGTAGTGAACTGGCATTCTGATTTATGCATCATAAACGTGGTCAATGTAGTGCACCCCTCAGAGACGGACTTGTTCTTAGAAGGCTGATAGAAGACGTCTGCTGAGCCCAGGAGCCAGGCACCAAAAGAGTCCCCAGGGTACTCGGTGCTGTCCTCTGAAGCCTCTTGGGAGAAGTTACCTACATTGCCTTACTCGACATCTACCACCCCACCCCAGTCTACCCTCTTTGAACACAACTGTGTTTCTGTATACACAATAGTAGAAGGAACATGGGTTTTGACATCACAAGACCTGGATTTGAATTCCATTTTTGCTACTTTTTAATTGAGTAACTTGAAACAAGTTACCTAACTTCTCTGCACCTCATACTCCTCGTTTGTAAATTGGGTTTTACACAGTGGTGAATTAGAGGGATAGTGTATACAATACACATATTATAATCTCTGAAAAACACTATACACTCAATAAACCCTTACTACAAATGTTGACAAGTGAGAAGTAGATTAACCTCAAGTAGATTAACCTCACACTGTAGGAAGAACATTCCATTGAACTCACTCCCTTGCCTCCCAAATTATATGGAAAAAATATCATACTCTTGCTCTCTTAACACTCCTTTTACCTGAAAAACCCAGCACGAGGGAAATTTTACTGGAACTCACCACCACTTGGACTTAGGCTATCACTCTTGATTGAAGTTGCAGGTCCCACATTATACAGTTGATGGTTCCCTTTCCCTGAAATGATGCCCCCTCCCTGGTCCACGACCCAGATATCTCCCGTCACTCCTCCAAAACTCAGCTCAGACACATGGGCCTTTTGTTTTCTATTCTTCAACTGGGCAAACCTTTGCCCTTCCAGGCCCTTTCACTCGGCATCCCTCTGACTCCAGAGCTAGAGAGGTTCTTCCTCTCCACCTCATGGACCTGTCCACCCAACAGGCATTTTCTTGTTTCATTACTCCACTGCATTCTTTTCTTCATGGTATGATCCCTGCCTGAAGAGACATCAACTTATTCTTTTTCCTACATAATGTTTGGTTTTCCTCCACTAAGCTTGACTGGATCAGAAACTGTGTCTGTCTTGTGTGCCACAATGAACCCTTGAGCCTAGAACAGTGCCTGGCACACTGTAGTGTTCAATACAGATCTCTGAATGTGATAAATGGACAAATACCACTTGCTCTGGAAAGCCTTCCTTTGCCACCAGGATGAGTTAGGTCCTCCTCCTCTGAACCTCCAGTGTCCTTTGGGCATGCTTCTTTGTATAACGCTTGAACTATGTTGTGATTACTAATTGTGTTATTTAAGAAATACCTGTCATGCGTCCTCACACAGTAGCAACCCTTTCAGGGGTAAGGTGGGAAAGAGGAAAGGCAAGAGATAAAACCCTAGAGAGGAGTTGTGTTGGAAACACCACCTGTTTGTGGGGGTAAAAGTGCTAAGTCAGTAGGGTTTTCAATCAAGTTCCCATTAAGAAATTTTGGGAAGGGGGTAGGCGATGGTTCTGGAGAGAGGAGACTATATCCCTGGGCACCACAAGCCTACTGTGGAGTGCAGCAGTGGAGGTGAACTAGTGGCATTGTGCTGTCAGGTAGGGACAGGTCCCGAGTTGTGTGGAAGCAGTACAGAAACTCCTCACCTTGCGCAGAGCACAGAAGAGCTGAAACTGACCATGTTGAGGGGCTGTGCTGCAAAAGGGACTGAGGGAGCCTCTAGCAGAGGTCTGCTGTAGGACTGCTGGTAGGGCATCCAATGAAAGCCATGATGAGCCTTAGGACTGTGCAGAGGTGAGCCCGGGTTCCTGTGAGCACAGGGAGGCCAGTATGAGGACCCATGGGCATGGCTGAGCGCCCTACCCTCCTCTGATGTGACAACAACCCAGTAAGCAAATCCAGGTGCCATCTTGCCCAGTAGAGGGACTTGTGGAGAAATAGCCCTGAGAAGGAATTAAACTTTCAATCTATGGAATATTTAGGCAAAATAAAGCTGTTAAACCTGAAGAGACAGAATTGCAAATTTGAAAATTCCTCCTACCCCACCCTCTCCTACTCTTTATCTAGTGAAATAAAAGCTGGAAACCCAGCCTTTTGCCATTTTTACTTTTCTCCATTCTTTAGACTATGAACTCTTTGAGGAAAGAGTCTTTTGTTGTGTCTTCCTACCGTCTAGCACAAGTGGGACCCAGACAAAGTTTTCCATTTTCCAGCAGTTACACGAAAACTAAAAAGAAACAGGTGAAATTAATTTTAATAACATATATTATTTAACCCCACATAATCAAAGTATTATTGTAACATGTACCAATATGAAAATAATTAAGGTGATATTTCCTTTTTTTGTACTAAGTCTTTAAAATCGGGGATGTAATTTACACTTCTCTCACTTTGTGCTAGCCACTTTTCAAGTACTCAAGAGCCACATACAGCTAATCCTTGTTTTATTGGACAGCATAGGCCGGGCACAATCCCTGCTGCAGAGCAAGTACAAAAGTAAGTGTTTGTCCAATGGGTGAATTTATAATACTAAATGCTATCATAACATCTTCCTGCCTCTAATAAAATTTTTGTTCCTTTCAAAGCAGGGCCGAACAATAAACTATATTTTGCCTTTGATGTGTAGCATCTATAGTGCTTGACCAACATGACTTAGCATTCAACTTAGAAACTATAAGGAAACATAGATCTTAATGTCTTAAAAATGCACATTCAAGTATGACGTTGACTTGACTATGCTTGTATAAAATCGTAACTCAAAAAAAACTTGCAGCCCCTTTCGAGATAAATATATGTATATTTTGTCCTCAACTGCATGGGCCAGAGCTAATATTTGTGTAGCTTGGTATTATCTATTATGTTTCACAGAATCTCTGAGGCTTGTTCTTAAAAATTCAATTAAGATGCTCTGTATCTAATTATTAACCCATTTCATGGTTTATTGCTTAGCTTCCCAGTTATCAATAACTGTGCTCATTTTGCTTAACTGAAGATTAATTCGATCAAAAAGACAATCTGTGCCTTGTGGGAATTTCCTGTTGTGCAAGATGATCATTCTCACGACTATCTGGCTAATCATTTCCTACTGTGAACTCCCGGAGTTGGAACTATTTGCTCTCCCTTTCTAAGAATAAAGCTGTATCTTCTTTCTTCTGGTTGTCTTTACTGCTTTTCAATGCATTCTATGCCAAGAATGTTTAATTCTCTCCCCCCCCCCCCCCCATTGCTGTTGATCACAACCAGCCAATTTTTGTCTCTCTTTAACATCTACTTTTTGAGTGTATGAATTGGGCAATACTATGGAGTGACAGCCATTGAGTGGCCTATTCCCCCCAAGTAATTTATACCACCAGTTCACAGTGGTTCCATTGCCAGTATATTTTGCCACTTCGCTGTTGAGAATGTCTTTTACTAGGTTAATATCTATAGTGGATAATAAATTTCATATAACAGTAGTTGTGCGATGCACAGAATCATCAATGACCACGTATTAGCAGCATTCCTGGGTCTCAACGAAACAGAGGGGGAGGGATACGAACAACTCTCAGGGTCCCCCACCAAAGCAAAGTTTACAGATTCTCAGTCTGAGGAGGAGATGGGGCAGAGTCTAATTTAAGGCCATAATTATCCCCCTTTGGATTCTCCCAAATGGTGTTCCCGGCGATTTCCTCCAGCTTGCTCCTCTCTTGCTCCTTTCTCTTTTCTGGGGAAGTTAGGTAGTTTATATCCCATAGATTCGCTACACCGGCAATTATGGGGCCCTTCCTTCTTTCAACAACCTTTTATTTGGCATCTACCACATATCAAGCTCAGAAGGTACAGTGGGGTCAGATGGAGCTCCTTTCCTCAGAGTGCGTGGGCTACCAAAACTCCTACAATCGTGATCAACTTCCCTGCTCAGGCCAGGAAGTCACTGGCGTCCTCACCGGTGTCTAACCCCAAACTTTGTTCCAGTTTCCTTAGGAAGAATTGTACCAATAGCAGTCTCTTAAAATTAAGTCAAGGTAGTTTTGAATAGAGGTATTAGGTACTTACAAATCGGGTGTTTAGAATATTTACACATTTACAAATTCTGAGTGATATCCTGTTCCAACTTGTAACGTAGGCGTGCTTGGCTTCTCTGGAAACTAGAAAACGCTAAGATTGAATTCAAAATAAGTATTTCAGAAATCTTACAGGTGAAACCCAGATCTGTTGCTAGGCAACCTGACACAGTCCCAAGTGGGGACCAACTTGCCTCCCACACTTGACCATCTCTCCCCAGTGGTGGGACGCGGAGACCTCATTGGCTCCCGTCTCCTCTCACTAAACTCCCATTGGTCGGAGAACCTCTCACTCCGTTCCTGTTGGCTCTCGCTGTCTCTCGCCGCTCTGTAATTGGCAGGCCGGCTCTCGGGCCACCCCACGTCACTCTCTCACCCCACTTCCTCGGCCCTCCAACTTTATCCCCGCCCCTTCCCCCGCCCTTCCAGCCACGAGGGAAAACCCTAGCAAGATCCCGCCTCTAGTTTTCTTCGGATTGGTAGAAGCCGGGCTGGGGGGCGGGCGCTGCCGGGCTACTCTGTGGGCCACGATTGGCTGCTGGAACCACTGCCCAGCCTCCCACCGACTGCCGGCCTTGCCGGAGTCGGGTGGGTCGGCGGCTATAAAGCTGGTGGTGGAGGGGAGGCCCTGCGTACTGCCCTTTCGTGGCTCGCTCCCTGTCCACGACCACCACCCGGAGGTCACGTTTGGGTGAGTGCCCCGCGCGGAAGAGAGCTAAGTTGCTGCGGCGCTGCGGGCGGGCGAGGTGAGGGCCGGCCGAGGCGGTGTCCTTGACTAGGCCCGTAGGAGGTCCTGCTTGGTTCGGGTGGGGAGGAGGTATGGACCCGGCCCGAGAGGAAGGGGCGCCGCGAGCAGGGCCGTGAGGGGCCTCCCCTGCCAGGGGCCCTGGGGCTCTCACCGCGGTAGGTCTGACGAGGGGCCGAGGAGTCGCAAAAGGAAGAAGGCGAAGGGGCGTTGAGGGCTAGGGTTCTAAATGACATAGCCAGGTGCTGGAGGTGCCGGGGACGTGGCTGTGATCGCCGGGAGGGGATTTGGGGGCAGGGAGGCGCATCAGGAGGGGACGATGAGCTGGGCTGCCAGGACGTTCCTGGAGCTTTGGGTTAAGGGTGGACGCCGAAGGATGGGGAAGATTATAATTAGATGGAGGCTTGTAGGATGGCAAGTGGGTGTGTCCTCCTGCAGCCACATAGAGAGTTGCTGGCAAGTGGGCATAACTTTTGTTCCCTGGCTCAGGTGCAAGAAAGCATCACAACCGTGATTTAGCCTGGAGGAATACTTGGGCTCTTGACTGCTTCAGGCAGCTTGCGTCAGATATCACAGATTCCGCCTCCCACCTTCCCGCCTCCATATTTTTTATGCCCATATTAAAAAAAAAAAAAAAAAAAAAAAGGTTTCCTTGGTGTTCTGAAATCCCGTACCTCCCTCCTGCTAATAGCTTCGGGGCCAGCCCGACCTGATATGGTGATGTAATGGGCAGGCACCCACAGGGCCTTCACACACAGTGGGTTTTGGATTAAGCCAGGGACATTTCAAAGCCAAGTATATGGTGTCTTTGAAAAACGTGCGTCCTGCTTTGACCAGTGGTGGAGAAAAAGATTACTCTCACCTACCCTGGAGGAGGGATTTGGACAACAGATAATGAGATTATCTCTGCTTGTCATGTTTGCCCTATGGCCTTGGCCATCACAGGCTTTTTTTTCGAGGCTCACCTCTGGGGTATGTCTTTCCTGCTCCTGATGCTCTTGTCATCCAGCTGCAGTAGAAGGAGATGTTCTGGCTGCTGCTAAGTAACATTTGCTCGATTGCACGGATGAACTATGAAAAACAGTGGCAGGCTACGTGACAAAATTAAGACAAATGGAAGTGCTCATATAGTTAACAGGTTTGTCCTTCTGCGATGGAGCTTGGGCTTGCTTTCATTGTACAGATTCTGTTAGAAGGCGGATTGGAAGTCCTTAACATGGATCTGTGCCAAATGGTTCTTTGCATCTTGAGACGTCTAAGCCGTTTGTGTTCTTTCTTTGATCAAAACTTTGTTTTTTAAAATTTCAGTTATTTTTGTGGGGGTGGGGAGGGTAGGGATAGCATATTTTATGGAAGAGGAGAAAGACTTTATTTCCTTAGTGTTTAACCTTTGCAAGTCTCTTTCTCCTAAATGTGTAGGTTTATCCTTTATTCAGTTCTAGTTTAGTCAGGAACCCCAGTTCTCAGGAAGGTGTTTCCAATGGGGAGAAATTATGGGATATTATGTTTGAGGCCATAAGAGGCCACATCATCTACTGGTAGTTTCTGGGCCTTGCTTTTCATTTCGTTTTCTTTAAGTATTTATCTAGAGTGCTTTTATACCTTGTTATTCTTTTTTATTTTATTTATTTTTAATTTACATCCAAGTTAGTTAGCATATAGTACAATAATGATTTTAGGAGTAGATTCCAGTGATTCATCCCCTGTGTATAACACCCAGTGCTCATCCCAACAAATGTCTTCCTTAATGCCCCTCACCCATTTAGCCCATCCCCCCACCCACAACCCCTCCAGCAACCCTCAGTTTGTTCTCTGTATTTAAGAGTCTCTATGTTTTGTCCCCCTCCTTGTTTTTGTATTATTTTTGCTTCCCTTCCCTTATGGTCATCTGTTTTGTATCTCAAATTCCTCTTATGAGTGAAGTCATATGATCTGTGTCTTTCTCTGACTAATTTCACTTACCATAATACCCTCTAGTTCCATCCACATAGTTGCAAATGGAATACATTGTTATTCTTAACTGTGGGAATGACTAAGATTTTTTGATTGAATTGAGATTTTAGCTAGCTTTTCTGGAAGGAAGTGCAAAACCCTGATATTGATGTAATGTGTGTTTCCTGGGTACCCTAAAATTATTTAAACCCATAAAGCAGTGGAGCTGAAGGGAGATGCAGTTGAGGTTCTGGTTCGAGGAATTTGATCGGCTATATATTCAGAATCTATATTTAGTTTCATGTAGAAAGGAACAGAGTCTTATAATTTTATGTTGGGTTACTAACAAACCAAATAGAAGGGTGTGATATTTTTGTGTTTCTCAAGATGGTGGTATAGATTCAGAAGGTTTGAAAACATGTTACCCAATCTAATGAGAGGGTGGTAGGACTCAGTTCTTAATAATCTATTCATTCTGACACTTGGCATGTAATGATCAGTTGCTGTCTGTCAATCGAGTGTAGATAGAGTAGAGGAGCTCAGTCTTCATCTTGGCAGGGTGTGTGCCTGGGGATGTATACATACGGGAATGTTGCTAAGACCAACAGACTCCTTACATTTTTCAGTAGAAAGCCACTCTTCTGAAACACCTTCTAGGCACTATTTGGGGCTGCAGCTCATTTACAAAGCGATAGCAAAAGGAACTGACTAATGAGGGCTGCTCTGTGTACTTGAATCTAAACGATTTGTCCTCTAATTGTGATAACTCCAAATTTAGCTCCTCAAAAACTGGCAGTAGAATGCCCTTTACTCCAAGGTCTCAAAGGTATTTCAAAAGAATCAAAATACACCCCCTCTCCCATTAGGAGCCTAGGAATCTAGTATGGATAAGAAGACTGTCAATAACTAGTTTTCCATTGAGAGTAGAATATGAAGACTTTGAGTGAATCACATACTTGCTGAAGAAGTGCGGGACCCTGATGAGAAAACTCTAGGAAACCTTGCTGGAAGAGGCAGCTTAGAACAGGGCCTTGAAATAGGAGTAGAATTTATAAGCAGACCAGTAACTCTGGGGAGAGGCAGGAATGTCAGTTTTTTACTTAGAGAACTAGACCAGAGTGTACAGGCGTTGCCAAAGCCTTCACCGTAGTTTTATATGCTTGCTCCTAAGGGGGAAAGATGGCCAGCTCTTTCTCATGAGAAAGGGTGTCCTGGATTTTTCTCCTTTTATAGCGAAAAAGATCAGCAGGCAACTGCTTACCATTTATCATGGACCAAACTGTGTGCTGGGTGAACTTTTCTGACTACTTGTTTGAATCAAGGCTGTAGAGGGATGCCAAAGATGGAATTCAGAACTCTGAATAAACCCCAGGAGAAAGCATCACTGCATGAACCTGGTTGGCCCTGGCAGTCTCAGCAGTTTTCAGTTTTAATCTTTGCCAAACTAGAAGTGCCTATATTGGGCCTCTGGAGGCTCCAAACAGGCTTTGTGGTAACAGTGCCCAGCCGCTTGCGGTTTATTAACTGCTTATTATCCTGACCCATGCTGCTCCATGATTTGCCCTGAAGGGACCTTCTGTTAGAAATAAGCTGATGGTCAGCTGGAGACTTTGGCCTTGCTGTTTCAGTCACGATAGAGAACCCTTCTAGCAGTTGCAGAAGAGAAAGGAAATCCCTTTCTAATGGGTTATTCCCCAAAGTGGCATTTACACCCTCCATTTCCTTTCCTGGTCTCCTGGCCTCTTCTTCTCCTGGGAGCTTAAGTAGCACAGCAGTCCTCTGTGAATCTTTTTTCTTGTGTTTCTTTCTTTGCTCTAATGCCCTTTTCTCTGTCTCCTTTTCTTTCCCCTCTTCTCTTCCCTCTCCTCTCTTTCTCTTGCTCCCCTTTCTCCTCCTCCCCTCCTCTTCTCTCTGCCTGTCTCCCCCTACCCCCCCCCCCCGAATTTAAATAATCAAAATTGAAAGAGGGAATATTGGAAGTTCAGGAGAAATTTCCTTGGGAAAATAGTGCCAAATACATATGCCTACATGGTTTCAAGAAGAAATATTACTAAGTTATTTAAATAGTCTCAACATGGAAGGGGAATCATGTTTTCCCCTCACCAGTGAGGACTAGTCCCTGTGGTCTGCTTAATTTGCAAGTTACAAAAGCATAATTGAAATAGCAAAGAACAAAATGCAGGTTATTTCTCAAAGTGTATGTATAATTCTGTAATCAAAGAGATCTTTTGAAAAGTTTTTTAATGTTTTTTATTTTTGAGAGAGCATGAGCAGGGGAGGGGCAGGGAGAGAGGGAGGAGAGGATCTGGAGTGAGCTCTGCACTGACAGAAGAGAGCCCGATGTGGTTCTCAAACTCACGTACCGAACTGTGAGATCATGACCTGAGCCAAAGTTGGATGCTTAACCAATTGAGCCACCCAGGTGCCCGAAAGAGATTTTTTGGAATGTATTTCGGGTGGCCCCCCCGGTTAAACTTAATGAAATAAAAGGAACTAAATCTGGGAGGAGCTCTTAAATGTAATCATGTAAAAGAAATAAATCTTTACTAAATTATTTACTAAAAATAATTCAGACTACTGAATGCGGTCTCTGGTTAATCAGTCAAGGGCAGACGCTAAGTTTGCCAATAATTACATAGAGAGAAAAGGTAATTGTGTTTTCGTTAATATAGGAACTATTGTCTCGAGCAATACTCCTTCAGAACAGATGGCCTGAAGAAAGTGCTCCAGTGTCACCTTCCTATTGCATTTCCACATAATTTAAATGATGATAAAGCTTAATGCTCGTTTGTCTTGATACTGCATGCTTATCTTTTTAACACAAGCACTATAGGGAAAATTACTTTTTAAAAAGTTGGGAAGGGTGAGGGCGGACCTGTTGAAAACTAGGAGCACAAGATTAAATACAGGAAGGTAATTAGGTCTTGCTAGAAAGATACATATTTCATTTGAAAAATTCTAAGAACTAGGATAATGATGAGTTGGTGCTTGATATTACAAAACATTTTTTAAGCTTATTTATTAATTTTGAGACAAAGAGAGCACAAGAGAATGAACATGAGCAGGGTAGGGGCAGAGAGGGAGAGAGAGAATCCCAAGCAGGCTCCACACTGTCTGCACTGAGCCCCAGTGCTGAGCGGATATGTGGCTCAATCTGATGAACCCGTGCAGTTATGACCTGACCCCAAATCAAAGAGTCGATCATTTAATTGACCGAGCCACCCAGGAGTCCCTTCACTCCATTTTATAGAAGAGGAAATTGAAGCTCAGAGAGGCACAAATCACTAAAGCCACCAACTCTTAAAAGTGTAGAGCAAGCTCTTGAATGTATCGATCTCATTACTCCAGAGCTTGCTAGTCCTGTACAACTTATTGATATTTCTTTCCTTCAATTCTTAATAATGCAAAG